GAGAATCTTGTAGTGAGAGAGTGACATTGTTGTAGCTCGGATTGAGCTTGAGATCTAGTGGATTCCGGTGAAGTATCACCGGCGAGAAGTAGGATGCTGGTTAATGCTCCGAACTCGTTAAATTTCTCTGTTCCATTTACTTTTAAGTCTTTCTCATTTTTGCAATTTAATTTGATCTAAACGAGTGTTTATAAAATTAAGTCGAGAGAGATAAAGTTTCACAGAGATGAATATAAGATGGTAAACTAGAAAAGTTGCCATATTTAAATAAATAGTCATTTGCTTGGAATTAGTTAGAGCTCTAGAAATAAGAGTATTAAGAGAATTAAATGTTTGACTAAGTTTCTAAGGGAGAAAGTAGAATGGGATACCAAAAGGCAATAACTTAACTGGTAAAAATCTCAGGTAAAGTATAGAAATCGCTGGTTCGAGTGACTTTTAGAATGGAACTATATAACATGCTTTAGTACCGAATCTAAAAGGATGTACAGACCTTAGCCCAAAACATCTTACTTATTAAAAAAAAGTAGAATGGGACGTCGATCGATCAATCATTAATTAGTTGTAAGAAATGTAAAATATGTGATATATGCATGTGAATATGTGATCGGAAAAAGTTTTAATCGATCTCGACTGTTCATCAAATCCTTCAATTTTCATCAGGGCCCACATAGATCGATCGTCTGTGAAGACTGAAGTGAAAAAAGAAAAAGAAAAAACACAACAATTACTAATTGCCTATCTAAAAGCCTAGAAGCAACACTTTTTTTTTCTTCTGAATGAAAACATAATCGTTTGAATAGATTTTACTTTTGTTTTTGTTAATCATAAAAGTTTTATAACAAAAAAATATTGGCAACTATATATTTCATTATTTAACCAAAATTCTATGTGTATATTGAAGAGAAAAACTGGCGATGAGTTATGCCTTTTTAAAAAATTATCCTCTAAGATGATCCTCCAATGTGCATTTGTGCTCGGGTTCAAATGAACAAATGGAACTATAGCTTAGGAATGCGGTGTGCTTGTGTATGGTGTTCTAGGAACATTTTATATTCTCTTCTCCATCGTATGGCCCGTACCATACGTGATGAGTTTAACTGCAAAATTTGAGATAGTTGCATTATTAGACCAAGATTGTAAATCATAAGAAGGAGGAATTACAATCACGTTGTATCCAAGGTTCACCATCTTGGTAATGGCTTTAGGAAGGCGGTGATCGGAACAATACTATTGATTAAAAAGGTACATGTAAGAAAACTATCTCGAAACCATGCTATTGACTACTTGTTTAGTAAAAATAATTTGAGAAAGAACATTTCATACCTATTTTACATTACTTATAGTTTCAAATTATAGTAGACTTCTATTACAATGATAAGAAAAATGCTTATAAAATCCTATTTTAATTTATTATAAACTCAGTGTTTTTGCATGTAATAAATTTTAATCAAAACACTTGCCAAATATATAGTTCAAAGAAGGTATAAGGTAATATGGACCCACGGTTTGCGGCAGACTTTCTAGAATGTATCAGTTAACATGAAAAACTATTGCCCATACATATGATCAAGATGAGGATGCAACTAACACATAACATTTAACTCTATCGTGAACATGAAACATGTTACAAAAAATAATATATTCAAATGAGGCACATCTAACTATGAACCCTTTTTACATCATGGAGACACCTAACCACGGACTCCCTCCGAACATCACAAGCACGTCTAAACTTCCTCTAATCGCTTTGTTGTGACTATTAGAAGTAGAATCTTCTGTGATTTTTGATAGCTTGAAATCTGACCGGACTCAATCCTTGACGCCTCTACAGACTGCAGACTTCCAGCGAGCTCTTCCTTGCCAGCACACTACCTTGACACAATGACAAATCTTAGGTAAACTCATTCTCGTCTAATCCTATTATGGTACCCATGATATCTCACTTTATATTTCTTTTTCCTAATTTCCTTCTCTTTGTTTAGTGACACAATGGATGCTTTTCATCTTGATCAACCATTGGATAAACTAGTAAAGTGATAAATTAGTAAAGCTTTTATATGTAAGTGGCCTCATGTTCAAGAATACTAAGATTCAGAGCGCAATTAAATGTAGTAAAGAGACATAAAACAACACTGTTAGTTGATTGGAAAGTTGGGCAAAAGAATATATCCTCATCCGCTAAGGAATTCATCCAGAATATTTGTAGATATTTCATACCAGCTTGGTGTGCTTCACCGACACGCCTTATCTGAAGCTCGTCGGCTAGTCTCTCCAACCCATACTGAGCCGCAATCTTCTTGACATTGTAAGTCATTCCTAGAAATTTCTCAGCCATTTCTACAAAAATTTATGTAGTCTCCGGCAAATTAAGACATGTCGTATAAGCCGTCAAACATGACCCAAGTCATTTTTTTTATACTCGCTCTGCAGAATCTCAGTAAACTCTCCTCGATATGGGTCCCTTCCTCTCTGATTTTCATCAGATTTAAACCATTGCGTTTCAGTTTACAGATTTTTCGTTTTTGCATCATTTGCTTCGTCGAAATCAGAGAAGTTTTCTTCCCACGTACCGCAGATTTTCCCTTGATTGTCAAATATCGTCAAACCCAACTGTATCATCTTGGTATTGTCGACATTGAATTTCAAGTTATCGTATCAAGTTTTATTGCTAGAATCTAGGAAATTTCGATTGGGATGAAACCACAAGTTTTTAAACATTCACATAACGGAATGACTAGCCGGTATGGGTTGTAGAGACTAGCTGATAAAGGCGTGTCGGTGAAGCACACCAGGCTGGTATAAAATATTCGTTCCTCAAAGTTCGCAGGCCAACACTTTTTTTTGCATATTTTTTTTTCCATTATCTGACTCATTATTTGATTTGGTTTCTTCATCGTGTTGCACATACTATACACGATGAGTTTATTATGATTTGCCCTTTTTGCGTTGGTTTTCATGGTAGCATCGTTATCCTACCTTTGTACATTATTGTTTACAAACTTTGAGAATATGTGTGAGTGTACACTAAGAAGTAAGAAAAAACCGCGTGAAATTTTTTTTTAACCGCATGCAATTATATGAAAATTAAAATTATCGCATCATACTAAGTCTTTCTTTTAGTTTTGCTTCCAAAACGCTTCTCTCCTGTGTTTCTTTATTTTTTCTAGTAATCAAGCTTTTGCAATTAATAAAGATCCAGCTTTTGGAGTATACCTCTTTTGAGATTTGGAAAACATCAAAGTAAACAATGAAATTGAAGAGAAATTACTAGAACCTGGAAGCCTGCTTACGTAAGGTAAATCCAGCTTTTCGCATTGATAAAAAGCATGGATCAATATAGGTTTTTAGAACACATTAAGAATAAACCTAAGGTTTATAACTTATTTCTAAATCTAGCATTCAATCTTGTTGATGTGTTTTTACGAAGACATACTTCCGGGAACAATGGGTGTCGACGATAGATTATGACATCAATGGAGGTTTTAAAAAGAGAAAAGACGCCTAGCTGATAAGGATGATTTTGCATCAAATTAATGCTCAAACAGTTTGTTAGTGATAAAAATAGGAATATTTTTAATGACCTAGATTTTAGAAAAAGTAGGTTATTTAAGAATGAAGAGCTACAGGATTTTTGTAGGAGCTGAGTTAAAAAGAACAATTGGATGATTCGAGTATTCAAGCTATGGATTTTCATGGCCTTTAATGAACAAAGATGGTGGAACTCAACTCTTCTTTCCTCCGAGAAAGAGAAGAATAATTCGTTAGTGTTTTTTGGTTTTTCTTAGTGGTGTTTTTTCTGTAATTTATTATGTTATGTATCTAATTTTGTTTTCTTATTATGCATCGGTGTAATCCGCTTTTCTTATTATTGCAATATTTGCAACTTCATATTGTTTTTTAATTGGTTTTCTTCTTTCCACACGCCCTTTAATTTTTCTTATCGTTGTGACTCACATAACAAAGTCTAGCCTAAGTGAGATTACTTTATTAGGAAGATTATATAGGGTGTGTGTAATGTTCGACTGAATGAATCTATAAAAAAAAATATTTATATTTGGTGGATTAAAAGTTTATCGAAAAAAAAAACAATGTGGATAATTATGTAGCTAGTGATTGATAGTAATCCAACTGGTCGTTTAGATATATAAAAAAAACAATATATATATATATATATATATATATATATATTGAGTTCTATTGATCATTGCAAATAACTAAACAAGTGGTCCTATAGGCTATAAGGTATGAATATTTCTAAGTATATAAAAATGAGTAATTAAAGTATAATCATACAAGCTAGTACATAATACTCGAATCTACTCTTCTGATATTTCGTTGTAAATTTGATGTCATAGAATTGTTTTTTTGAATCGTTCTAGCTAGTTCTAGCTATTTTATTGTTGACTAAAAAAATCAAAGTATTAATACAAATATACAATGAATAACAAATATACAAAAAATACAGTATAGACTATCCAATAATATATAAATAAAATTTTAGATGTACTTTGAGTGGATATGGATAATTTAAGTTACCAAGTAGATTTGCATAATTAAGATGATTTTGTTTTTTTTCTTTCTTTTTTGTTCTTTATAAAGACCTCCTTCTTGAAGGCAACATTGTAATGCACGAATCAAAAGAGAACGCGTGGGGATTAATAAATTTATTAGAGATTTAAATATAATTAAAAAATACTTCGAGACTTCAAAACTGAGGAAGAAAAGGAAATCACCAAGAACATTCCTTTTCTTATAACTAACGACTAATTTCCTTTTTTCCGAGTCTCCCAAGTGTTAACGCGTGACGCAAAACTGTGACGGTAAGTAATTTCCTTTTTTCTGTCCACCTCATATTCTCCACTTAATTACAAGAACACCACTTCCACTTACTTACGCAGCAAGTCACGATGGGTATTTCTGTCAATTAATATGTCTTTACTCCCAAACCCTCGTCCCATTATAAATACCAACATTCACAAGTCACACAACACACACAAACTAAAAAACTCCAACCTTAGAAAATAAAACACAAAAAAAAACCCTAGAAGTTAAGTAAGTCGAGTCATATTAGTATAAGTGTATAACAATCAACCATGGTTGCAAGAAGTGAGGATCTTGCTCGGACGGCGCAAAACACACCGGCGAATAGTGATAATCTTGATCGGAAGGTGCAAGATACGGCGGCGAATTGTCTGATGCTGTTATCGAAAGTTGGAGATGGCGGCGGAGGAGATAAAGAGAAACGTGTTTTCCGATGCAAGACTTGTATGAAAGAGTTCTCATCGTTTCAAGCTTTGGGAGGCCATCGCGCAAGCCACGGGAAGCCTATTAACACTAGCAGCGAAGAACAGTCGTCGTCTTCGTCGTCACTTTCTTCCGGATCCATCACTAAGAAGGCCAAGAAGACGACCTCGCATACTTGTCCGATTTGTGGCGTTGAGTTTCCGATGGGACAGGCTCTTGGTGGTCACATGAGGAAGCATAGGAACGAGAAAGAAGGCGGCGCGTTGGTTACACGCTCTTTTTTGCCCGAGGAGACGAGTACGGTCACGACGTTGAAGAAATCGAGTAGTGGGAAGAGAGTTGCGTGTTTTGATTTGGGATTTGATTCGATGGGGAGTATAATCAATTTGAAGTTGGAATTGGGAAGAACGATTTCTTAAATTTTGTCTTCTTTCTTTACTCTATATTGAATATAATACTGTAGTTCCTAATTCGTTATATTTTTAGTATTCTAGATTAGCATCTTGCATAAACTTTTCCATTGCTTTATAGTCTTTATCTTACCGAACATTTTGATTTACTATCAGAAATTTGTAGTTGATCAGTAAATCAATGGAAAGCTATTGCTCAACCAAAGAATCTAGAGTTTAAATTGTTTTTTATTGTTGGAATCAAAAGCATGAAAGCATAATTAATAATGTTGTTAATGACATATCATGACCGCCACAATATAGGTATGGTCTAGCACTCTGTTTAGTTGTTGGTGCAATTAGCTAAAACATTATAAGTTTGATGATCATTTCATTAAAGAAAGCTAACACAAATTAATTAGATGTTTTGTTTTCTGACCAAAATACTATCATATTAAATGTTTGTCGTTGACTAAACCAATGGAAAGGCTATCACTCAATCAAAGAATCTACAATATAAATAGTTTGGTGCAATATAGATAATCACGTAATAAGATGCTTATGGAACTTCAACAATCAAAATGTCATATATTAATTATATATCAAGTCTTATTTTGAGATTATGCTACATTCTTATGCATTGAGAGATGAATATGAGAGAAAAAAATGTAGTGGATTAAAAAACCTGTAAAGAGATAAGTGTGTTAGTGTGTGCTAAGAAGGAACCGCGTGGAATTGCATAAAAAAAGGTCAGCATCAAACATCACTCTCGTCTTTTCTTATTTTCTTCTCTTTTTGCCTTACAAACGTTTCTCTCTAGTTTCCATACAACCACCATTTTCACGCTTTTTTAATTTATTTATTCCAATTATTTCCATCATTGAATCTTGATATCGATCGATATCTCAGTTTCAGTTGAACTCGGCTGATCTCTCAATAAAATCCTGGTCAAACCCTAAACAAGCTTTTAGAATTTACACAATTGCATTGGAATAAAACAATCATCATCCTAAACATTCATGATATATTCATTAATTACTAGATTACTATCAATTAATTAACTATTTATAATTAATTTGGATATTCACATGAACAGAGCGATGTATGATTTCCAATAATTTGTTTTTTTTTGGGGTATAAACAACAATATGGATAATTTTTTTTTATAAAGATATGAATAATATCTAGCTAGTTGATGATAACAAATATACAAGTCGATCTGATTACGTTGATCAACTGCAAATGACAAGACCAAGACGTATGAAAAGTATATAAGAAAACTAGTTAATATGTGAATAGGTGACGAGTAAATAAATTTATTACATTGATCATTTATTTTACGAATAAAGAAAAAAACAAAAACATTGACTATCAAACGAAACACAAGTACAATTTTTTAAACCTAAAAATAACAATTTAAAGGCGGCTTAAAGTTAACTTTCTTCCGAGTGATATAACTTACGCAGCAAGTCACGATGGGTACTTCCGTCAATTAACAATCTTGTTCGCCTATGCTATAAATACCAACATCACACAAGTCACACTACACACACACAACTAAAAACTCCAACGGTCACAAACAACCCTAAACCCTAGAAGCTTAAGCCAGTCAAATTCAGTTTACGATAACAACAATCAACCATGGTCGCAAGAAGTGGGAATCCTGATCGGACGGTGCAAGATACTCCGGCGAACAGTGAGATTCTTGATGATCGGACGGTGGAAGTTAATGCAGCGAATGATCTGCTGCAGTTGTCGAGAGTTGGTGATGAAAGCGGCGGAGGAAACAGAGAGAAACGCGTTTTCCGATGCAAGACTTGTATGAAAGATTTCTCATCGTCTCAAGCTTTGGGAGGCCATCGCAGCGCAAGCCACAGGAAGCCAGTTAAAAAGAGCAGAGACGAAAAGTCGTCATCACTTTCTTCAGAATCCGTCGTCACTACGAACAAGACCAAGAACACGTCCAAGAAGACGGCGTCGCATATTTGTCCGATTTGTGGCATAGATTTTCCGATGGGACAGGCTCTTGGTGGTCACATGAAGAAGCATTCGAACGAGAGAGAATCCGGCGAGTTGGTTACACGTTCTTTTTTTCCGGAGACGACGACGTCGACGGTTACGACGACTTTGCAGGAACCGAGTAGTGGAAAGAGGGTTTTGTCTACGGATTTGGGGTCAGATTCGGTGGAGAGTATGATCAATCTGAATTTGGAGCTGGGGTCTGGGAAGAACGAGTAACTGATTTTCTTTTCTTTTTGTGTGTATCTTTTCGTAGTTTGAGAATATACTACGTACGTACTGTAGTTAGTTCCGATTGTGTTTCATTAGTTTTACAGATTAGTTAGCATCTTGATTTTGCATAGAGATTGATATGGCTTTGTAGTCTTTTATTTGACTGATCGATGTGCGCATATTTTGATTTACCTATCCAAGATTTGTTTTCTTGTTTGCTCAATTTTGTTGGTTTTTTCTTTTGGTTATAATCCTTGAAGGTTGAGATACGAATGGTTGCAGTTGGGTTTAAGTATTGTCTTGAAAACAACAAATATGTTTGAGAAGTTTCACGATCACTGGATTGAAGATGCTAAACACAGAATACAAACCTAAATGTGTATAATTATATCAGATGTTTATGAAAGAAAAGCTGCAGCTTTAATTGATTAGTGGAATCAAAAGCATAAGAAAATTGTTGTTAAACGACATAGAACATGAAGCAAGAGAAACAGAAGAATAAAGAGGTAAATGACGAAGAAACATATAACAGTTCAGACTATTTAGTCACCGTCGGAAAAAAAATCAGTAACAGAAAATGAAAAATACAAGTTTCGATTAAACCTTCGTACAAATAGAAAAAGGCAAATTTAGAGGAACGAATCAGGAATTTTGAAATAAAACAAAAAATTCTTAGTTTTGTTTTTCACTTCACCACCAAACTTTTGTTGATTCTTAAATCTCTTCACTTTTAAGAACTTTTTTAACTTCCACAGCATGCAGACTTCTGAGTAGCCTGGCCAGCTCCAGCTGCTTGGTCCGTTTGGCTTATCCTGATCGTCGCAGGCTGCAATTGACGACAACAATCGCACCAAAAGAATGCGTTTTCAGATTCGTGTCATAATGAGAAGTAACAGAGATGTGAAAGAGGAAAGACGAGAGATGTGCAACAAACCTCTGCTCTCGCGTCCGTGTCGGAAAGCCTCTGCTTAATGTCCCTCCCAATAGAGAAGAAAACTTCTTCCACGTTTAGGTTTGTCTTGGCACTCTGCAACAAGATAGATAGCTGTGTAAGCAATGTGTACAAGAACCCATCTATCTTATTAGCTGTGTTCTCTTGAAACTGAAGATTGAGAAGAATTGTAAAGACTTACTGTTTCGAAGAACTTAATTCCGTACTCATCAGCAAGAGCCTGACCCTTTGCTGTAGGCACCGCCTGAAAATCGTGATAGGACCATGAAACTATTGTTAGTATCAGCCGCGTGAATCATCAAACTGGGGTAAAGTCGGTGTGAGCGTACGTACCCTCTTGCTTTCATCCATATCAGCCTTGTTCCCTACCAAGATCTTGTTAACATTATCTGACGCATGCTGTTCGATGTTACGAATCCAGTTCCTAATGTCTGCATTAACGTCAAGAACCTCGTGTGTCAAAGAAATGATCATTTTGGTTATAGAATTTTAAAAAAACCAATAAGTGAAAAGGAGGGGCCTTTACTGTTAAATGATGACTCGTCTGTGACATCGTACACCAGCAGAATGCCCATTGCCCCACGGTAATAAGCTGTCGAAATGCAAATAGGAAAAAGTGGAGGTGAGCAGAAAATCTTCAAACTTAGTGTTGAAACAAAGGAACAGATCAAATATAGTGTCGAGATAGGCCAAACAAAGAACTAGCAAACTAATCAGCCAATCAAAGCAAATCAGTCAAATGGCATTGCAAAAACACATCCTCTTTACAAGAAGAGATCGTAACCTGTAACTAGCTATGTAATTCAGACATGTTATATATGTTCATCTCCTCGAGAAAGCAGCCTACAAGTACTGATTCAGGAAGCAGCTTTATATATGAAAAGAAGAACTAACCAGTGGTGATTGTACGAAACCGTTCTTGACCAGCTGTGTCCCAAATCTGGAGCTTGATACGTTTGCCATCAAGTTCAATCGTTCTTATCTTAAAGTCAATGCTACAACAAAGCGAAAGAGAACAAGACTCTATAAGACGTCGTGTAATTAAAACAAACATCACTACTGGGATCAAATTTCTCAATAACAGAGAGAAGAACACAAACCCAATGGTGGTAATGAAGCTAGTGGTGAAAGACCCATCAGAGAAACGTAGGAGGAGGCAACTTTTACCGACACCTGGAAAAACGAATCGCAAAATTTCAGAGATCTCTAAACATAATCTGAATATCTGTATTGCTAGGTCTACACAGCGATTTCATCACAAACAAAATTGATCAACAACACAGTGAATAGATCGATTCCATAAAAATGAATAGATTCAGGAACTTGTGCTCGGATCCTTAGAAAACACGAGAAACAAGAGATCGAGGAGATTTCAGATCACATACCACTATCTCCAATCAGAAGAAGCTTTATGAGATAATCGTAATCGGCTCTAGCCCTAGCAGGTGGAGCAGCCATCGAATCTAAAAAGGATTATTATAAAAAAAAACTCACAGATCAAACCATATACATCTTTGTTTCATCGAAAACGAATCGATCAGAAAAAAAAAAAACAGCAGAATCGAAATGAAAGAAGAAGATCGCGAAAAAACATGTACCGGATGAAAGGAGGCAGAGAAGAAACCGATGTAATCGGAAAGGAGAAGCGACAGCGAAGGATATGGCGGACGGCTAAAATGCGCCAGTCCCGATTTAGCTTCCCTCTCTTCTGGTTTTTTCCCCGCTTCTTCTATTTACTTCTTTCTCTTCTCTTCTGCTTCGCGTGCACGATAAGGATACCCTGCGCACGTTAGCAACTGTGGAACCGAAGAGAAATGCACAGAAAGAGAGAAGGATTCTTCTTTTTTGGAGGGCCTTAAAGGCACGAAGCCTAATGGGCCTTTTATTAATTGCTTTTAATCCAAATTAGCTAGCTGGACCAACTTGGCTTCATTTTCAATTGCATCCCCAAGATGCCACGTGTCATTATTCCTGTGGCTAGCCATTCAGAGTGATGAGCTGGCGTACCAAAATCATCATGAATACATTGCATGAAAATGGAAGTTGTCAAATTGACAAATACTAACTAGTGGCCAAAACCATCATAATAGTAGGAAAATGGATATAAAGAGAAATGAGAATTTACATATGTAATTGCAAATTGAGTAATCTTATATATAAAAGTTGTTTAATTCTGTTCATGACACATCAGCATTTGAGAATTGATATGAGAATGACATGAGTTATTTTAAAGAAAATTAATTAATAAATTTAAATGTTAAACCACTTAAGAGAAAATGAAAAGTTTTTTTAATTGATTCTTAAATAACATTTATGTAAATATTAAACAAGAATTTATGTTATAATTAATTAAAAATTGATGATTTTAATAACTTCTTAATTTTTAATGATATTATATTTTTAATTAATTGATTTATAATAAAATATTAACAAATGATGATCATATTTTTTTAAAAAAAATTACAAAAATATATAAATTTGAAATAGTTGAAGAAAAAATCTATTTAAAATTACAGTTTAAAAAAAAAAAAAAATTAATAAATTTTAATTTTAAATTTTAAACTACTCAAAAAAAATATTTATTAATTGATTTTAAGTAACATTTATGTAAATATTAAACAAGTATGTTATAATTAATTAAATATATTGATAGATAATTAAACAAGAATTTATGTAAATATTAAATCTTAATTTTTAATGATATTGTATTTCAAATTGATTGATTTATAATAATATACTAACACATAACAAATAATGTTTATATTTTTTAAGAAAATACAAAAAGATATAAATTTGAAATAGTTGAAGAACAAAATTTTGCACGTTACGTGCGGGTATTCACCTAGTTCATATAATTTTGACAAGAATATGTATTTCGCTTCTCAAATCATTGCCAATATCGTTAATTATTTTATGTGTTTAGCCTCTAGTGAGTATCTAAATTAAAATTGTCAGTTTTTCTTTAGTTTTCAGCTAATGTTAACTTTGACGAGTTCAGCGACATTGAAATTTTATCACACATGAGGTCAGAATGTAGAAGTTTGATCCAAAAAAAGAAACTGTGAAATTATCGGATGATTTTGTTTCTTCCGGTTTTGAGAATTATTGGAAGTTTCCAACGAACATTCAACGTAGAGATTTCTTGATTCTAGATCATAAAGAGGGAATATCTACAACTTTTTTACTTCTTTTAAATTTTAATAGTCAACTAAATTTTTTGATGAACTTAACGGATCAAACGAACAAGTAGAGAAAGACTTCAAAAAAGAGAGTAAATGCCACATTAAAAGATACGGCAAAAAGATGGATCTGCTTCATGACTCGCATGTCTTACGAACTAAAAAAACTGAAATAAATTTGTCTATTTCTCCAAATCTTTTAAGCATTTGAGTAACCACATAAAGAACAATCGCCGAGTCAAAAAAGAAAAAGGAAAAAAACTTCTACTTTAACAGTGAGGTCAATCGAATTTTCCGCTCAGTCCACATAAGGAGAAGCGAAATACAACCCGACCAAGACAGATCTTGAGAAGCTGCTTCAGTAAAAGAAGCCAAGAACTTTGCCACCGACATTCTTTCTCCTGGCTTCTTCGTGATCCATAATTCCCGCTGATGTAGTCAGAACAATGTAACCAAACTGCATATAGAGATGTGTGAATAAGTATTTGTTCAATAAGGTTCAAGAAGTCATAACATTGTAAGAAGATAATAGTGATCTACACACTTGTCAACCGATTAATCGCTAAAAGGAAAAGCAAATAATTATCATTGTTTTGCTTAGAAAAATAAAAGGGTTTTTCTCAATGTCATATCTTTTCTTCCGACTTGGAAGAAGTAAACATTACTTGCAAGAGGAAATAGAGAAAAGATATGGTCTCAGTTTGTGCCCGCAACGGAACAAGAACAGCACTGTTGTAGCTACTCTGATCTCTCAAAGGCACTTTGATATAAGTAGATTTTAATAGGCATTACGACGAATCTTATGTTCTACAACTACAGCATCATTTAATGTTGAAATTAAGATCAAAGAACAGAGAGTAAATGACAAAGATATAGTCTCGAGACCAACCTGTCTGGAAGGAAGTAGACGAGCAGTCCAACCCTCAATCTCCTTAACACCAACATCAAAACGAGGACTGATAACTCCACACTTGTTTAGCCTTCCATTAAGCTCAACAACAATCTTACCAGACCTGTGGTCATCAACATATTCAAACTCGCCGATGTAACCTAAAAATCCATGGGAAACAAGAATTTTAAAAAAGCCATCAGTACACTTGAAACTATGTAGGAAACAAAAAGAGACAGGAAATGGATTCAAGCAAACACTGAGAAGTACCATACCGTGCTTTTGCATGACAATCAGGAACTTGATGATAACTTTAGATGAAGGCCTGATCATAACCTGCCTCTTTCCCCTCTTCTCTGCATTGTACATGCTCTTAAGAGCGTCATTGAGGACACTGATTCTCACCATTCTTCAAAATTCAATACTGCAAATCATAAACAACAAAATTTGAAATTAATGAATCATAGGTAAACGAAACTTACTGACACTTGCAGAAAAAAAAAATTTAGAGCTACAAAGCAAGTGAACATCAATACTAACATTATAAAACATTTCACGCCTTTTGTATCAAATGATGCAATGTAATTTTTTCATTTTAATAGGATACACAAAAAAGCTTATGCTTCCAAGCTAGACAGGCAACCAAATGCAACGAATTTGATCCTTAACAACATCGAAATGCACCACGACACTAACGGGAAGGACATAAACAAGGAATCCGAAACAGAAACTACGAGCTCTCGTCACATTTTGATCATTCAATACGAAATCAAATCCCAGAAATCAAACACTAAAAAACTTGGCAACTAAATTCTCCGGGGAAACATCAAACTGGGAAATTGAACAACGCGCGTAGCAACACCGTATTCCAACAGGCAATACATCAGATCAAAGAAGCCGAGTTTCGAATTTCTGAGATTTTCTAACCTGAAGTTGAACTCGCAGCCGCTCCGACGTATTTCGTTTGCTAGAAGGCTGAACAAAAATTAGGGTTTTAGCTTTTATCGTTTCACTTGAAAACTTTATTACACAGCTTAGATATATGATCCATTAGGCCCATACTATAGACATAATTGGGCCCATTGTATCCCGTTATAGATAACTTTCTTTACATCGTCACCGTTAGACGTTATCGCAATCTAACGGTGAAAAATAAACACGTAATTTATTAAAGGAATTCATATCTTTGCCGTTTGCTCTCCAAGGCATGGACGGATATGGTGTAATCTAACGGTATTTAATAGCTCCACGTCATCGATCCTCCTGAAGCATGAACAAGCCAATAGGTATCTTATTCTCTACCCTATATATATCAGTTGCCGAATTTGTTGAAAATCGCACATCTTACGATTCTCAAATTCACTTGCCCTCACGATCTCATCCTTTGAAAATTCCTTGAAACTTTTCATCTTGTGAGAATGGCACCAAAGGGAGAGAAGAAGCCGGCCGAGAAGAAACCAGTGGAGGAGAAATCAAAGGCCGAGAAGGCTCCGGCGGAGAAGAAACCTAAGGCCGGGAAGAAGCTGCCGAAGGAAGCCGGCGGCGCAGGCGGCGATAAGAAGAAGAAGATGAAGAAGAAGAGCGTCGAGACGTACAAGATCTACATCTTCAAGGTCCTTAAGCAGGTTCATCCAGATATCGGAATCTCGAGCAAAGCCATGGGGATTATGAACAGCTTCATCAATGATATCTTCGAGAAACTCGCTCAAGAATCGTCTAAGCTCGCTAGGTACAATAAGAAGCCTACGATCACTTCTCGGGAGATTCAGACTGCTGTTAGGCTTGTGCTTCCTGGTGAGCTCGCGAAACACGCCGTCTCCGAGGGAACCAAAGCCGTCACGAAATTCACCAGTTCGTGAAATTGCGTCTCGTGATTCGAGAATTTGGGGAAGGATTTGTACAATTAGGGTTTATGAATGTTAAGAGTTTCTAGATTTCGATTTCTGTTTCGTCTTTCGTATTTCGATGTAATCAATCAAATCCAATCTCTCTACGAAATCAGTTGATTTATATCTTTGCTTTTATTCCTCCCCTACAAGTGAATCGATTTATCGAATTCGTTTCTTGCGAATCTGGGTGTTACTTTGAAAACGTCGTCGTTTCGCTAGAGCATTTAACCTAGAAATGTTTCGCACTTGGCCTTTTTCTGAATCAGTTTGTCTTATTGTTAAAGATGGCTAAGAGATTCGCAACTCAACTCTTCGTAAGCAGTAAGATAACGGTTTCTGAATTATCACCGATTAGATTAATCCTCCGTTTACATTCTCTGGTTTTCAGATTTTTCTCTTGTGCAGGGTTATCTGCTTACACCACAGATCGATCTCTGAGGCAGCTTTTTTCTCCTTTTGGTCAGATTAAAGACGGTACAAACAAGAAACTCGCATATGTCTTTGAGGCTCGATTAGGTTTATGTTTTGTTCCCTAATTTTGAGTTGTGGTTTTTATTTAGCTCGGCTTATTAGGGACCCAGAAACGCAGAGACCCAAAGGTTTCGGCTTCGTCACTTTTGAGTCTGAGGATGATGCCCAAAAGGCATTGAAAAGCTTGGATGGGAGGGTAAGGAAAAATATAATTTTTTTTAATTTCTCCATCAATAACTTGCCAGTTTCTTCGTACTTAGATATTAACTTCAATACGTTTCTGGGTTTGTACTAATCAATTGCTTGATAATGCCTCCTTGTTCTCCAGATGTTCCTTGGCACATTATTGTCCTAAACAAAGCTACTTTAGACCCTTTTGTGATAAGTTTTTTAGGTGTCTAGATCCAAGTTGTGTAAGATCATATTGCCGATTAGGGTGTGAAGCTTTATCGATTTTGGTTTCGTTCATTGTGACTTAACTTCTTGAGAAGTTCACTGAAGTTGGATTTGGTTCTTTTTGTATGGTTTGCTGGTTTCAGATTGTAGATGGTAGACTAATATTTGTTGAAGTTGCCAAGAACGCAGAGGAAGCGACAACGGATATGAACAAGGACGACGACTAATTTAGGCCCCGACACTTGATGTAATCATGTAGACTTCTTTACAGTGTCGTAATCATGTAGACTTCTTTACAGAATGTATCAGAGATGATGATCAGTTCCATGTTTACAGCTCCAAAAGCTTGGATGCAATTCGTGATAAATGATTGTTAGTCTTTTGTTTGTAGAAGAACATCCGTTTCACTATTGGACCGATCTGGGCCTATGAATATTGGGCCTGGTTGGGCGTCAACTTTTAAAAGTGGTTAGGCTACGATCACAGTCTGGTAGGAAACCTGTCGCACAAAGCAAAACGTCAGCGTCCATGTTTTTATAAATATACCCTAAATTTTCACGTGGCAATCTTTGATTGGAATTAACCAGCTCCTCACCGCTATAATGAAAGCTGAGCGGAAAGTGGAGCCAACCGAAAGAGCCATTAGAGTCATGGACCTTTTAATTTGAATTTCGATTTTTTTCAAAAGGTGCAAAATATTCGATGCCAATAAAATATAGAATAAATTACACTAAAAGGTACATTATAACTTTCCCATAACACTAAAAGGTACTTCCAATTATTACTTCCAATTATTAGGATATTTTTATCAGGTGAGATGACATTTATGTCTTTATTGTAACTTATACTTGCTTTTAAGTTATTTACTTTAGTCATTTTACCCATGCGGTAAAACATCATTTTTCCAACATTTCACTATCTCGGCGAGTTTCTCTGATATTCACCGGCTTTAACCCTAAAAACGCCCTTCTACTTCTTCTCTGAAATCCATTTCGCGTTTGTCTCTTCAAATCGTTTCTCTCCTAAAGCCTAACTCGGCTTAATCGCCTGTGTCTTCCAGCACGAGGCTGTCGAATTCGTGTTTTCTCGGTTTATTTTGTTTTTCGCTTCCAGTTTCCGCTGTTATTCGACATGTCAGGTTTGTTCTCCATCCAAGTTTATGTTTTTTTTGTCTGAACTCTGAATTATTTCACGAATTACTGTCTTATCGGAGTTTTTTTCAATATTTTTTGTTTTCCAGACGAGGTTCATGCTTCTGGGTCCGACAACCGATTGCCCGAGCGGTTGTTTGCGACGGACCGATTTCCTATCAACCGTATCAACGTCTACTCGAAGCCCGACACACTTACATTTCTTCATGATGTGCTTCGTGATACACCAGAGTTTGAGACAATTTTGAACTCGCCGTTCGGCCGTTTATTTGACATTCCAGCAGCTAGTGCACCGATCTCATGTAAGCTCATCCACTCTCTCTTAACCATACAGGTTGTCACTAAAAAACAATACGAGATCTGGATAGTGTTTGGTGGACAACCTTTTCGATTTTGTTTGCCCGAATTTGGTCAAGTAACCGGGTTGTCCTGTGGCGAGTTCCCTGACGACTATGCACCAGACTTTCAGCCACCGAATGAAGTTGTACCAGATCCATACTGGCGAGAGCTAATCGGCAACGACCCCAAAACAACCTTGGCTGACATCGGATATATGCTTAGAACGGATAAGGATATGCCAAGTAGCAGGAGACTTCGGTTAGCCTTGCTTATGATTGTTGATGGTGTACTAGTTGCTAACACACAGGTTCACAAACCCACTCCCCGATATGTTCGGATGCTGGAGGACCTCGATGGATTTCTCACTTTCCCTTGGGGAAGAGAATCCTTCCTAAAAACTATTGCATGTATGCGGCCTTCCAGGAAAGTCCCAGGAAAAGTAGATAACCCTGTAGGAGAATTCCGGCAATTGCTTCTCCAATTCACTTTCCGTATGCAAGGTTTCCCCCTAGCTTTACAACTTGTTGCATTCCAAGCCATCCCAGCGCTACACTTAAAGTTACCCAAAGACTCTGCATATTTCACATTACTGGATTGGGATGGTATTAAACTTCGCAAGAACGACTCTCTCTCCATCCGCGACGTGCTCGACGTCGAGTTTGGTGACAATGTAAGTTCTTATACTACTTGGTTCTGCAATAAAACATGAAAAACATTTTGTTTAGAGATTACTCATTCTACTTTTTTATGTTTTCTTTTTTATTCAGTTACTGGTGCATCCACTTATCGAGGTCCAGGTTCCTGATGTCATTGGATGGGGTGAATGGGATGATGAGATACGAGACAGGAAAGTTACATACTTAGAGGACCTAGTCCGTGAAGGTCATTCATTTTCCAAGTCGGAATGGCCTGGTGGAGATGCTTCGCTGCCTCTGTAGACTCATGTCCCAATCCCTGCACAACGCGTACACCGAAGGCACATTGTAGATCAGAAGAAAAATCTATCTCAACCACACACCCCGTTGAAGCTACGAACAAAGAAAAAAAAATGAAACATGTCAGTCGTCGGAAGCAGAAAATAATGGACGACTATCTACTGCCAAATGATGCGGAGTCTCAAAACCAGAACGTGTGGTTGCTATCTGAGGTGAAACATCTTTGTAAACGTGTCCAAAAATTAGAAGACAAGCTTAAATTCTGCAAGTTTACACGATTTGGTAAACTGTCTTCCCAGCGTCTCACAGCTACCAGACACAAGAGCAAACGTCAGACAAAGACTGACGATGCAAGACATCCACCTTCTCCTGTCCATTACTCTTCTAATATTATCCGACTCACTGATGACAATTACACACCTGGAAATAGTGAAGCCAGCCAAGAAGTAGTATCACCTGATCGAGCCAGAGAAGAAGTTCAATCACCTTTACTTGATAGAAATCATGATCCAGGTTTTATCGCCGTAAGTATTCTACAATCTAATCAACACATTCCCTTTACCATTATACTTACTAAAAAAATCTCGCTTATAGGAAGCACAGGCGGAGGACTGCCTTACAGAACCACAAGTGGGTACCAAAAAACAATTACCAGTCCAGGACTGTCTCATGGATGACTGCCCAAAAGAACAGCTACTAGATGAGTCGGTTGATTTGGTCGCCGGAAATCAACAGAATTCAATTGTTAATGAAATGGGTAAACTAGTAACTTCTATCAAGCAAAATTCACTTCTTTTCTGGGCACACTTGATAAATCTATATTTGCTTCCTATATTACAAAGGTCATCCATCAGGGTAATCTTCTTCCAAGCTCGGCAATACCATTTCTGACTCCATTCGGCCCTTTCCAAAACAACACTGTAAGAATCACTTACAACCAGTTAGTAGCACTAATGTTTTATCCACAAGACAACATCCACACGTCCACATGACTAATCACGTTTTTATGCGCTAGTCTCAGCCAGACATGGAATTCGCAGATGGCTGCATTTCACATGTGCTCGAGGCACTTAACAACAACGAAGAACTTCACGACAATGACAAACCATCAACAAAGGTAAATTCTACATATAAATATCCTTTTCAGTGCTTAAGGTCGGCCTTAATATTGTCTCAAATAAACCAATCAACACACCAACGCCTGATGAACACTCGAGTTTTCTTCCACAGGATTCGAAGGACACGGCGCTGACAACCACGAGGGCAACTACAGCACAATCCAGACATCTCCCATTTTTGAATGGAAACCACACAAAGCCAACGATGGTCAGGAAAACATGCATATCGACAAAAATGAGCCCGAAGAACCCATCTCCTCACTCGCTGAAAACAATGTCGTCCTGCAAGTGGATAACAGTGGCCAAGTTCACGAAACTCAGCCCATTGTAACTCCTTCAGTGTTGCAGGTGTATCATGTCCCCGACGTACTCAAACCCCTGGATAAGTATATGCATGTCGTGACGGATTCGACGTGCAGTGGACAACTAATGGTGGACGAATCATCAATACATAACTCCAAGATATCACGTTACCAAAGTGGACACGAGAAATTGGACATGATACCAGATGGACACGAAGATGTGGACATGATAACTCGATTGCAACTAGTTATACCATGCTCAGACCTGGTAAACTCTCCAAAACAACACGGTTTGCATCCATGTGGACAGCCTGAGGCGGACGTCGACTCTGCTGATACCATCAGCACCTCAAGAAAACTCACTGTACTCGATGAAGTAGATCCGGGAACTAAAAGTGAAGATGTACACGCAGAAGTGGAAAACGAAGCAGAGGAAAGTGAAGCAAATTATAACCAGGTAACTGTGCTTCACCAAAACGTCGCAAACGATGTTCATACCAATTTCTGACACAACCTTCTAAATTCTGTAAAACGTAGGTTCAGGTGGACGGTGAGGTGCTGGACGTAAGTGATTCTTCCCCACCCCCACAGAGAGTTCAGTATTCGCCGTCGTCCGAGGAGCAACGGTTAGCGGTTGCTTTTAGGGAAAAACAGAGCCCACCGTCAACCCTACTGCTCCAACATGTTGACGAACAAGAGTTCAAGTTCTTTCACGACACCTTGACCTCCTCTATTCACGTGTACGTGCCTACCTACTTCCCATATATTTAGCTGAACCATAAATCACATTACCCGTGAAGGAGTTCATTTTATTCTTGTTGCAGAAAACACACCACTGCTGATAACTTTACCTTCGACAATGAGTTTATTCTACACCTAGCTACCCCTCAGAAATGGATCTCAACACTGGTACCTATACTACTTCCTATTTCCTTCGGTTATTACTACATCCTATGCTCACTTATCCGTTTTTTCCTTAACAGCACATGGAGGTTCTTATGTCCTTCCTAGGATCACGTCATACACACATTCTACAAGCAGAACAAGCATGCTTTGCGTCTCCATGGTTAATCAATCATCTTCAAGGGAAGTATCGTTCTTGGAAAGCCGCTAGAAACAAGTCAAAATTTAGATGGGATGACCATCTCGCAGCTTTTGTCAAGGCTGATGGTCAAACATGGCTGACCGACGTCGATACAGTGTACGCACCCATGGCTGGGACAATCAGCATTGGGTTGGACTTGCGATAAACCTTCGAGGCTGGTTCATCGAGGTACTTGATCCACTCCCTTCTCTAAATCCGAACGTAAAGTGGAGAAATACCTCCAACCTGTTTTGGAACTACTCCCGCATATCATTCAGACCATGTGTCCGAACGAAGCCCCCACCGAATACTTAGGACACCCATTTCGTTTCACTAGAGCGTCTGGGATTTATGAGAACCACAGAGGTGGAGACTGTGGCCCTGTCACACTTAAGTTCCTCGAGCTTCACGCTCATGGTGATACCGGTATGATAGCTATGTGCGATGCAACGGTCGATCAATTCAGGAAACAATACGCCATGGATGTCTACAAGTACTTAGTTGTTCCTATCTACTTCCCCCAACCCTCTCAATGAACACCAAATCCCGTATTAAAAATGTACCCACATATGGATGGATGTTTTCCTTATCTTCGAGTAGCTACTTTTAAGTTTCTTCCACATTAGACAGTACTTTTGTAAGGGCATGTTCGCAGTAAGGTTGCTAACTTTTTTTAACGCTTTTGGTTGATCCTTTAATGGGTCACCCCGCTACTTCAGTTTTACGCATCTAATCCACTTTTTTACATCCACTATATATGTTGTTTATGTACACCGGTAAATCCACGTTCGCAACGTTCTCACGTTTTTGTGAATTGCTTTAATAGTTTTCGATCCCGAAAGCCACATCCACCAAATATGTCCATACGATTTCATCCACCTACCCACTTATGTTTGTTGCTTTAATGGTTGACCCACATACGTCAGTTCTACGCATCTCATCCATTGTTACGTCCACTATATTAGTTGTATAGGCACACCGGACATTCCACGCTTGCAACGTTCTCATGTTTTCGTAGATTCCTTTCATAGTTTTCAAACCCGAAATCTTCATCCCCCATATACATCCATTTCATTCCATCCACGTACCCATATCCACTACATACTATGATCATATCTCCAAATTGCTTTACCCTATCATATGCTACTCTACGGTGGAGAAATTCGAAACATTTGAAACATTTGAAACATTTGACACTACAACTACCTCCAAAACAAACATCAGAAACACAATAACCGACTACCAAATAACAGTTGAAACTACTTCCATAACTACAACAACCTACTTAGATTTATAGATCACAAACAGCATCATCACAAATGAGACAATAATCAACACTTGTACAAGCCCTATGTCAGGATCGGCCCTCACAATCGTAGTCTCACTTCGCGGAATCTCAAGCTTTAGGACGACTGACTTCAGCTCATTGTAGTCGTCATGACACCCACAAAGTTGTTCATTAAGCTCCTTTATCAGCACCCTCAGCTCCGCAACATCATCACGAAGAACATCCACATTTCGCCAAATTGTGGGTGGATCAACTAGTTCTCCACTAGCTCCGCTCAACAAGTACTTCATCCTATCATCTTGGTATCCCAACTTCACCTTCTGCTCTGCCAACTCCTCTGTAACAGCTACATCCCACCATTTTTGGTACTTGCATCCTCCCTCCTAATCCATTACATTCACATCAACAGTTATAAAACTGTGTACTTTCCGATTTAAATTGCGGGATTACAGACTACATACCTCTCTCATTCCACATCTGTAATAACGGCGACCTCTGTTGTCCACCTGATGAGATATGTCTATCAAGACGGACTTTCCACAGTAACATTTTTTTGGAATCCCCTCATCGTACAATCCCTCGTAGTATCCATAATCTTCAAGACTACCTCTAGACGAAGAACTGTTGCTGTAGCTGATCGGCATTTTCCTGCGATGGTTAATCAGGCGTAAATCATCTACATCCCCGATTTCCAAAGTATCAAAAAAACATAGAAAAACCAGCTACAAAATGGATAATCATTTAGACCCACCTCGTCCCCTCGAAAATACAACGTTCTCTCACCGCCCCCAAATACTACAACAGATATTTATACGGAACCTTCAAAGCTCAAACCTAATTTGAGGGTATTTTAGTCATTTACAACACCCACACCCCCTAATTAACATCCAGCTGTGATAATCCATGTTAAGTGTGTCCACTCATAACTGTCCCGTATATTGAGTTAAAAACATTATTTTTTGCTTCTCGATCTACACGATCAACACTTACAACCAAGGACTGTTGCTGTACACACCTCATCACAAAAAAGGCCAAAAAAACATGCCTACAAACATGGTTGTCTTAGATTATCTCCAACGATCCATTAACACTCACATACGTACGCAAGGTATAATCCACCTACATATCGTATTTGCAAATGCTTTATATAGGATCACAGGACTTCCAACAATGAGATAACTATCAACAATGAGATAAATTTCAACAATAAT